ACTTATAATATTAATAATAGTTTATAATTTATAAAAGTTATAAAAATATTATTTTTATACTTAATAAATTTATACTTAAAAGATTACTTTTACCTTAAAGTATAATTCTAATTAGCTTAGAATTAATAATAGTAATATAAAATCCCTATATACGTGCAAATATATCGCGAGCAGCTTTATCCCTTCGGCTAAATTATAGCTTCTCCGACTAGTAAAGTTATATTATCACACACACAATTATATAGGACAGCTTAGGTAAAATAAGAAACTCTTAATTTCCTATATAAAAAGTAGAATAATATAAAACTAAATACTTATTGTGATATTACTGCCTGCCAGGCAGCAGTATAGTAATAGCTGTTGCCTTGAGTGAGCGACTTGACCTTGACACATATGTATAAGCTAATTGTGACGAAGATGCTTATAACAAACATGCATTCACTGAGAATGCACATATTGGGTGATAATTATCGGGCTTTTCTTCCTTCTTTGGTTCTTTCCTGTTATCTGTTGTAATACTTACTTATTCTAAGACCTATTTAGTTCTTAAAGAATTATATTAATAACTTAAATAATTATCTAAAATATATTATAAAAAATAAAAAAAGTACGCTATCGCGTGGTCTATACACAGCCGCTCGAGCCAATGGGATGCTGAGCGACGAGCCTCTTTGACTTGATGCTCGGTACTGCGCTGAAGATATTGTAAACAGTCACCATTATAGGAGCAGGCCGATCGACTGGTGGAAAACCAACGCTAATTGGTACCCTCGACTGTCTTTAATGGCGGTTGATATGCTCACAATTCCTTCATCGTCTGCGGAGAGCGAGAGGATGTTCAGCAGTGCTGGACGTATGATGGTGCCATTGCGGAGCCGGCTGAGGAGGGAGATAGTAGCGATGGCTCAATGTATTCGATCGTGGAGTAAAGCCGGGATCTATACACCTTCACCCTTATGTCGCTCAAGGAGACGGGGTAACACATTACGTGCGTAGTATCACGGGGCGAATCTAAGGTGCTAGTAGTAACGTAGTTGTGCCTTAAGGAGGAGGGAAGAAGAAGCTATCTAAGACTACGGCTTTATAGTGCACTAATAGTTTGTGCTCACGTGAGTGTCTTAGACAAGTTGTGATGGTGCTGTGACAGGAGGTTTATATAGCTTACAACGAGAACAAGACAACAATGAATATACTATCAATTTCTGCCAAGAAATGAATACGTATCCAACGCCTTGACCCAACACAAAGCCCTTTGCCTCAAATTCAAGGTCATTCTCAGTGCTCAGGGGACAGATTTCGAAGAACAACCGGCTGCGAATTATGGTTATCCAAATTCTCTGGATCCCAGACAAGTTTCCAGATTCCCGAAATATTCGTTGCCAACGCGTAAAAGTGATTTTCCCATTGACCTCCATTCTTGGCAAGAACGGTGCTATCATAGAGAAAGAAATCACGCACCCCATATGTGGAATTGGATTCGGTCACAATCGCGACTGTATTGGAGGAGTTCGAGTTTGGCAAAGCAATCTTTCCCAGCGTTGATACAGGCTTATTGGTTGCATTGGAGTGTACAGTCCAAGACTCATTGGTATCGTCGTCAGTGTTACTAACTAATGTAGGACAAGGGTGAGTAAATGTCCATATTCAGATTACCATAAAGGCATCACTCACAGTATATGGGCGTCAGATGACCTGCCGAAGTTCCATTACAGAGAAATATAATTCCTGTTATTCTATATTAGTCACGCCATGTTGAAAGTATGCATAATAGTGCAGTTCCTCACCATTGCCCTGGCAGAAGCCTGCCGCTCCTATTCCATGACTAGAGCCGTAAGCCCATAGGTTGAAAGTAGTAGCTCCAAGCGTTGTCTTGCAGACACTGACAATGAGCACTGCAGCTAAGAAAGCATGTCGTAGATTCTGATTGATGTACATTTTGAAAATGGGGTGTAAAGTTACATACACACAAACTGTCAATGGTAGATGATGATTGCTTGGTTAAAACAGAAAACAGAGTGGTTTTACCGAGATCAAAAATCTTGCAGAGTGAAATGCTTTAAGTTTGATTATACACTATACTTATTTTCATGTCGACTATTATGTAATAGGCAGTTGATCCTTTTATTCCTATCGCCGCGTTATCGCCGGGCCACTCAGATGAATTCACCGAAAGTATGCGTCGCAAGCGCCCACGAATGTCAAGCCGCTTGGACTCCTGTTGGGAAAGTTAATATCTACCGAAGTAGTATCTATTTGTCAGTGCAATGATCCAAGCAACAGTCGTTTCTCTACTAGACCCGTTGAGAATAGGTCCGAATCGATTCAGTGCAACCATCTATAGGGAAGCATACGTATGCAACTGCATCACAAATAATCCGCCAATAGGCTACCATAAACTTTGAGCTTACATGGAAAGAGGAACTGAATGTTACACCTGCGTAAAAATACAAGATCCTATTTGAGCGGGATATAAGACATGGCACAGAGTATTGTAAATCTCTGTCTACAGCCACACACATAATACAACAACTCTTTCAACTTGTCATATCTATACCAGGGCTTGACAAATTACCATGAAGCTTCCGTCGTTTGTCTTATTTGCGGTTGCTGCTACCCAAACTGGTGGTAGCGCGGTTCTCTCTCGTGCCCCATGCACAGGAAATACAGCTACTACTCGAAGTCAATGGTGTGATTTTGACATAAATACCGACTACTACGATATAGTACCAGACACAGGTGTTATAAGGGAATACTTTTTCAACTTGGAGCAGGTAACCACTGCACCTGATGGCTTTTCGCGCGTTGCATATGCTATCAATGGCACGATTCCGGCACCAACGATTATCGCGGACTGGGGTGATATAGTTGTGATTCATGTTACCAACAACTTAGGCATTGCACAAAACGGTACCTCAATTCACTTCCATGGAATTCGACAAAACCGCACAAACGAGATGGATGGTGTAGTGTCCATTACTCAATGTCCAACGCCCCCTGGTAGTACTATCACTTACACGTGGAGAGCCACACAATACGGCTCATCCTGGTACCATTCACACTTCGGCTTTCAGGCTTGGGACGGCGCTGCAGGGGGTATGATCATAAATGGACCCGCCACAGCAAACTATGATGAGGATAAAGGCATAGTATTGTTGTCCGATTGGAATCATAGAACAGCCTCTGAGCTCTACTCTGAGACTCTCACCAAAGGTCCCCCAGGTATAAGCAATGCAATAATCAATGGCACAAACATATGGAAAGACGAAAGCGGTACTACCGTTGGAACTCGGTTCAATACGTCGGTCACAGCCGGGAAAAGCTATCGGCTTCGGCTAGTCAATGGCGGAATAGACACGCATTTCAAATTCTCTATAGATAACCATACGATGACGGTTATTGCGGCTGATTTTGTACCCATTGTTCCATATGAAACCACGTTATTGAATATCGGAATGGGTAAGAGCTTGGCGGTATTTATTCCATGTTATGTTTTTGTTCACAGCTAACATCCCGCTACTATTGTAGGTCAACGCTACGATGTTATTGTCCAAGCCAATCAGCATTCTGTCGCGGATAATTTTTGGATACGTGCTGAGCCCCAGACCGCATGTTCTTCCCAAAATTCGAATCAAGGCAATATCCTCGGAATTCTTTACTACGGTAACAAGCCTGATACCCCGACAACGAAGGGGTACGCCTATAAGGTCGCTGCGTGCGAGGACGAGTCGCTGGATAATTTAGTTCCCCATGTGGCTCGGAGTGCTGGTAAGGAGCACTGGTCCGATCTCGAACTGGCGGACCTTATTCAGCAAGAAAACGTCTTCTTGTGGGCTCTGAACGAGACCTCATTCTATGTTGACTGGGCCAATCCTACCCTGCTTCAAGTCTACAACGACGAGAAAGAATTTACCCACCGGAGCCACGTCATCCAGCTGGATGAAAAGAATCAGTGGGTCTACGTGATTATTCAGGCGCAAAATGCTGCGTCACACCCGATCCATTTGCATGGGCACGACTTTTATATTCTTGGTCAGGGGACTGGCACATATAACTCTACTCAGCAACGCAGTCTTTCCAATCCTACTCGACGCGATGTTGCGTTGCTGCCAGGCTCTGGTTATCTGGTTCTAGCATTTGTTACTGATAACCCGGGTGCTTGGCTGATGCATTGTCACATCGGATGGCACACTAATACGGGACTTGCCCTTCAGTTTGTAGAGCAGTACGGAGCTGCCAGGGGACTGATAAACCACGACTTTCTCAACAGCACGTGCGAGGCATGGTCTAGGTACGTCAGCCGCACTTCAATCAAACAGGGTGTTTACGAAGATGGTATTTAGACCTGGTGGCAACTGGATCGCGATGTCTGGGACCCCGCGTCCACCACAAATTAGGCAATGTTGAAAGCTGCTGTGACAGCCGGAGTCCAGCATGGCAGTATGTTGTTTACTTGAGCTAGCTTGTAGCAGCCGAATATATGATCGGTCTCTGTCCGTTGAATATCATACTACACGAAGACGTAATGCGTGGGGCGTATTTTGGGTTTACTAGACGTTCTCCATTCTTTCCCGTAACTTTGGCTCACCAAAAAGTACCAGTTTGTGTGTCACACACACGATTGTGTGGGACAGCTTAGACAAAACGAGAGACTCCTGATTTCCCACATAAAGAGTAGAATAATACAAAACTTAATGCTTATTGCAATATGCCAGGCAGCAGTATAGGAATGGCTGTTGCCTTGAATGAGCGACTTGACATATCGTGTAGGTAGTCGTCTTGGTATGTTTCCTGTAGGTCTTTCGGCTAGCCTGCTTATGCCGATCTTTCATTCGCAATACTTCAATAGTTCATACTTTAAGTGGAGCGTCGGAAAAGATAAGCAAGCAGCACGGGCCTCGTACTGACGTGGAAGACCTACGCCATGGCCTAATTTGGAAGTTCAAATATGCACCATGTACACCATGACTCGGCTGCTGAATCCCCGAGCCATGAGGGTTTCACTTGGAACAGTATAGGCGGACAACGGGTAATAACTATAGCGTCCAACAAATGGAGCAATGAGGACGAAGTAATGTAAACGACGTCCTATGACTTGGTGCTAGGGTTACATTTTCCAGGATTTTCAGGCACGCGCCACTTTTGAATCAATATGATATGTAACTAGTCATCTGATCATTGCGTAAGCGGAAGAGAGTTGGTGATGCGACTTAGTTAGTAGTACATGTACATACGTACGTCCTGTATTTTGGCTATCTCCTTCGTTGCCAAAGTGTAAGATTTTTTGGCCCACAGGCACCACGCCGAAACAAAATTCCCATCTCCACCCACCCTTTGTTCAGCGGAAGGCTGTGTATACATTAGTTCTTAAGTTTTTCCCGAATACTGAGGGTTTGGTGCAGATAAGTAAGTTTTAGAGGTTCTGATTGGTTCAATAATTATATTGACGGCTGCAAATCGTGCAACAAAACAGGAGACCAAACCGCAAGCGGCTTGCCCAGGAGAGCCTTGAGAAACGAAAGCTTAACATGATGTAGTAATTTATGAGAAGTTTTAAGAAAGTTTTTATACGGGCTAGATGTCTCAACGTGAGAGCAGACTTAAAAGTTAGAGCAGGAGCTTCTTAGTGGCCGATTCTAGTGCGGGTGTAATGGTCCAAGCTGAGTATATTGATAAGTGGCTAGGCGACCACTACGAGTATCTAAACGCCAAAGAAGAAAGGAAAAGAGAGCAAGAAAAGGAGAGCTCTTGAGCTCTTGAGCTCCTGAGCTCGACACATGGTTTAGGCCGGGGGCCGGGGCCGAAGGCGAGAGTGCAAGCCGAGTCATATCGGACTCAGCCCGTTATAGCGGGAGTTTAGGAATTGCCGAACTAGGGGCAGACTGGATGGAGCACAAGAAAAGTTACATACTCAAGCTTGAGGAGGAAAAGTAGTTGAGTCATTGTAGCCTAACAGTTTCATGAGTCCCTGTGCTGCCATCTTCCATCGATGCCACTGTTGGCAACTTATTGACGGCTGTATCTAGTTTACTGATGTTTACTCTACGTTAACCTACTTCTTGGGGGGATGACGATTGCGACGTGGACGAGCTCCGCCGTCGGATACGAGGGGCAGGCCCGGGGTTGGGGAGGATTCTTTGGGGTTAGCAGTGGTGGACGGAGAAGTTGGGGCGGATATGGGCTCTGTAGTAAGCTCTGAGTGCGGGAAAATAAGCGCGCTTGACAAGGCGTCTGGAAGAGTTGTATTCCTATCAGACGGGTTTGCAGCTTCGTTGGCAGGGCCCGATATGCGTGGCCTCTTCGAAGGAGTAGATGTAGATGGGACCCGGCCACGCCAGCGGTCGGATCGCTTCGAAGGTGGAGTATCGGTCGGGGTGGGCGTTGGAGCGGACGCAGGTCTTGGTAAGTAAGCGAGGTCGAGGACTTGGAGGGCCAGGAGGTTGGTGTCCCTCGTGCGGCCGGCGATCTTAGCAGTGACGCTGAGGAGAGCTCCCGATGCTGGTGTCTTGACTTTCCTTTAACGCTTGGTGCCTTCTAAGAAGTAGACTACGGAGAGGTGAGCTAGGGCTGCCTTCGATGCGTTGTAGACAGATGTTTTAATGGTGAAGTGACGGGGCTCAGAAGGGTCAAGCGAGTTGTCGGTATAGGGAGGCACGAAGCTGATAACGGTCACCATCGGGCACTATTACTCTGGCAAGTGCTGGTTATACTGGACGGAGTCGGCGATATTCCCTGGGTGTCTAAGGCTGTCAGCTAGAGCTAGGGCGAATGTTTGGCCAGACCTGCCTCATCAAGCTCAGCGTCTGCGTGCTAATCTCCAGAGTGCCGTTCATTGACAGTGCCGTGAAGAAGCGGCCGTCGGCGTAGAAGAAAGCGCCAGGAACGTAGAGTTCTCGTTGTTCTTGCGTCAGATAAGTATGGATGCGGGTGCGAATGGGGTCGGTGGCGATATTAGGATCATGGAAACCGTCTTCCTCGAAGATGTTGAGATCTGTTTGGATTTCGACGTAGTTTGGAGCATTTTCTCGGGTCGGGTCATCTGTAATGGCGTCGACGAAATCCCGTAAGTGAATTATGCTTGTGAATGTTGGTTGTCGAGACATGTTGAAAGAGATTTGGAATGAGTGTGAGCGAAAAACGGTCCTGGGACGTAGGTCGCATCGCTGGTTTCTATAGGGGAATAATTCTGCATGAAACAGATGGTTTACTACGCTCCGTTATCCAGGACTGGTCGGGCAGACTCTACGCGACAGGCTCAGGCCCAGGGCATATGAGCACGTACGCATTATCGCGTCTTCTGCTCTGAATACTATCACATGTGTCATAAGAAATGGTCCATGGCTGTTTTGTTACAGAGCTGAGCTGACGGGATCATGGAAAACACAGACTTGCTTCATAATGGTAGCCGCCGTAAGCGGCAAGTGGTTGGCAGGATGGTCTTTGCTCGTCGTCGCCGGGAGGTGGGAGAGGTGCCCGAAAAAAGGAATGTCAGAAACAAAAAGCAACGTCAGAAAAAGCAAAACCATATCACCAGGCCCCCCTCAGTAACAGGGGGCTATGCGGATTTGGTCATCTGGCTGGTAATTCTGAGGATTAGGTGTGGTACGAGTGGTGTTGTTGGTTAAGTGTCTTTGGTGTGTTGCCTAGGTCTGGGAAGTTTTTTCCCGTGTCTGTTGCTGCGCATAGTCTGGTCATTTGGACGGTGATTCCGAGGAATGTGGCATGTGGTGGTGTTGATAGTCGGTCATCTTTGCTGTCAGGCCCTGGCTGAGCCATGCTGCATAAGAGATATCAGGGTTGGTCGGGTTATCTGCTGGTGAAGCATCGGCGGCTGCTGGCTTGGTCATCTGCCAGTAAGGCATCAGGGGTTGGCTGGGATATCAGTTCACGAGGTTGAGGTTGATAGTATTTCGTGGGTGGAGGACACGATTTGTATGTGAAGGTATAGTATTTACGTGAGGAAGGGAGTTGATCCGGGAAGTGGTCTGGGGAATTGGTGGTGTGGCCGATATTGAGATTAAGAGAGGTCAGATCAAACGAGAGAGGTTTGGTTTGGACGTATTAGCGCAGGAGCCGTGATGGAGTTTTCCGCGGTATAGAGGGGATATAGAAATTCTAAGGTTATAGCTTTAGAAATAATAGAATCATGTCTATAAAATAAATAGTAAAGATTTTAAGAACGGGTCAGGGAAAATGTCAGGCGCGGTGCAAAATAGCCGAGTGATGAAAGATCAGGGTAACAAATCTAGAAGTGTCGAGGCCTAGAAGATAGTAAGCCGTATCTAGGGCGGAGATAAGGTTTACTATTACCAGTAGGCGTATAGTGGAATTAATTTCTGTAATAAACTCTGTGCAGCGGCTCGTAAGGTGAGCGATTGGGAAGAAGCTGTAGTGAAGTTAAACAGGTTGCTTCACAGACGATCCCAGCAGCTTGGACGACGGCCAATTAAATACTTGGTTAACCCTATCGAATCGGATGATTTGATAAACTTAAGGGCCTGGTCTCATAAGGATCCATACGTCAAGAAAAATGACTGTGAAAGAATCAGTCTAGTTTTCAGCAATCTGGCTGCCAGAGATTTGCCGGCCGGGTTTGGTTTCGATAAATTCGGTCTGATGGTACGAAGTGGACAGCAACAGTCGGGCGGCGATCAGCCTTCGCGGGAGGAGATGGAAAGCCGGAGTCCTTGGGATGGCGGTGACTGGGTTCGAGACCGCCTGCGGGAAGGACACGGGAATCTGGCGCGTTTGAGGACGGTGATGGTTTTCACAACTAAAATCGGCGGCTCAGCTGTCCCGCATGTCAAGTCCCGCATTTTTTCAAAGCGCAAAGGCACGAGTAGTCTGAAGGGCCCAATACATCGGCACTTAGTGGGACATCTATAGGGATTACGCAGTCGCCCGATTTCCCCAGTTTTTGCCGCCCGTTTCCTTCAACGACGCTCGTGACCTCGCGATGGAGCGTCATTGGACGCTGCCTTGGTCGACGTCGACGTCCTAAGGCTCACCCCACAACTGGGGTTGTACTTTCGGCATTTTCAAGCTTAGCACTAATCGTAATCACATCATCCGATGTCTTCGGCCCCGGACCCCATTTGTATCGAGGCCCGGGAGCTCTTCTTTTCTTGCGCTGCTTTCTCTGAATACCTACACTAGTTTGCTGAGCTAGTTGCCAATATGGCAGCCTAGTATTGACAGCAGCGTATTTGGTGTCGTAGCGCCGTCATTTCGAGAACAAAGTTACAGCAGGTTGTCAGCTAAGAGAACTTGATGAGAGGTGTGCCGAGATGACGACCAACAGCCCAAGCTGCCAATAACGGTGTCGTTGCAGTAGAGCAAAATCCCATATATTAATTCGGCGTCACCCCTAGGCTAATTGTGTCTCGTCCTTGTGCAGACGAGCCTACAACATCAGAGTTATATTGCCTCTTCTCAGCAAATACTATTACCACGACTCCCAATATGAGTACATTGGTGCTCCGGCTTATGTGCCTAGCCATTGTTTCTCTCGCTCTTGTCTCTGCTCAGGGGTCACGTGCTTTACCACCAAGCAAAGATCCTTTCTATCAACCTCCAGCGGGTTTCGAATCCAAAGAACCCGGTGCTATTTTACGCCAACGCCTTGTCGTGGCCTCCTTTTTTGGGCTTATTCCAGATCCCGTGGAAACATGGCAGCTACTCTATCGTACAACAGCCATTAACGGCTCACCTATCGCCACGGTCACGACCATCTTCAAGCCATTATTTGCTAAGAAAGACCGCTTCATTTCCTTCCATACGGCATATGATAGCTCGGCATCCATTTGCAACCCCAGCTATAACTATCAGTTGGGCTCCTTGCAAACCGACTTGATCTCTTCGTCTGAGTTTTTTCTGTTGCAACTCTACCTGCTCTCTGGCTATATTGTGGCGTCGCCGGACTACGAGGGTCCCGATGCGGCCTTTGGTCCTGGTCGACTTGAAGGCATGGGTGTCTTGGATGGCATGCGCGCAGTCAAAAACTTTGGTAATAACCTAAAGCTCTCAACAAACAACCCTATGGTAGTTGGTGTGGGATATTCAGGCGGCGCCATTGCCACGGGCTGGGCGGCGTCTTTACAGCCAACTTACGCCCCTGACCTAGCACTCAAGGGCTGGGCCCATGGCGGGACGCCTGCAAATCTGACTGGCATCTTGACATTTATTGACAATACTTTATTCAGTGGGTTTGTGCCCGCCGCTATCAACGGCCTAGCCAAACCAAGCGCGTACGGTGCGCAGTTAACTCCCCTTCTGAAGAGCATCATGACTCCACGCGGCCAACGCGTTCTTGACTTCGCTGCAGCCAGCTGCGCCATTGGTGATTTACTCGCCTTTCCAGAACAGTCAGTACTATCTACTAGCTTTCAAAACCAGGGACCTGGCCTTCTCTACAACCCCGATCTTGTGTCAGTTCTAGAACAAAATACCATGGGCGTTCATAAAAACGAGACACCGACCGCGCCAGTACTGCTATATCATGCAACTAAGGATGAGATTGTTCCCTACACAAACGCCTCTACGCTGGCAGATGCTTGGTGTAGTAATGGCGCCAACGTCAAGTTTATCACCTTTGCTAATGGTGGGCACATCACCACCGAGGTTCTCGCCATTTTAGAAGTGCTCGAGTTTGTTGCAAATGCCTTTGCTGGAAAAGTCGCCAGTGGATGCTCACGCACCACAGTGCTTCGCAACACTCTGAACCCTATTGCTCTCGGTGTCGCCCTTGAGCCAGTTCTAGTAATGCTGATTGAGGTATTAGCAACTGCTGGCAAGGAGGATATCAACATCGTCAAAAACCTCTCAACGCTGAACAAGACCATATCTTGAGTCCCCTACGAATACGTCATCTTGAACGGCAAACTTGCCTCAGATGCTGCCGGCTTGGAGGCCCGTGAATTCTCCTTTTGTTCGTGTCCTCTTCACTTTTGGACACTTGTTATGGTCGTCTAGCTACCGGTACTTGTCAATATACTCAGCTCATCCCGCCGAGAGCGTTCTGGTTACCTGCCCCGAAACTGGAGGTGCCGGCCCTGCCACTGCAGCGAATATCAAGCCGATGACCTCTGACAAGGTCAAGTCATTCATTCAAGGTCACACCTATTGCTATGCTGCTTCTTGCCATATTACATAAAGCATTTAGTTTCACATTGCTTAATTTTTAAGTAGGAAATCAAGAGATTCTCTATTCGTCCTAGTTGCGCCATACTCTCGTAGCGTGCCACACCTCGACGACCTCGCGTGTTACACACTAATGTATGACAATTCGTAAGAGATCCAGTGAAGGAGGTGAATACGCTAAGCTACTGCTAGGTATGAGCATGGCGCAAATTAAGGTCGAATAAGTAGTGCTCAGATCGCACACAATCGTCCTCGCGATGTTGAGTGACATGTATTCGGCTCGGGACCGTACCTTGTGCAAATCAACGTTGACAGATAGCCAGCATGTCACGAATCTGATGGTCTCCCAGGGTTGTCTTCGCAAAGTCGTCAAACGTATTGCGTGCAACGGGGGTGATATGGCTAGTAATGAAGGTGGCCCCGTCGGCAGCGCAAACTACCTTGTCCGTGAACGCGCATTCAGACTCCGAGACAGCCCACCCGTCAAACCCGTACTTTGCAATCCTCGTAAAAATGCCTTTGAAGTCGACTTGACCATGACCAAGAGCACGGAATCGGCCTGCCCGTTCCACCATAGACGCCCTGGCGTCCACTGGGTAAGAATTCGGCGTCCTTGACATGGACAATTTTGACGCGTTCATGATAGATGTCCAGGAAACTTGGATATCCGACTTGTTGCAACACGAAATGGCCTGGGTGGTACAGTATACAGGCTCGTCGATGACCGTCCACCGCCCGGAGGAACCGATCGAAAGACGCCCCGTCATGGACATCCTCCCCAGGGTGAAGTTCAAAGCAACAGTGGACGCCGACCTCATCAAATACATCAAGGATTGGTTTCCAACGTGCGGAATGCTCTATAAATGCAATCTCAACCATATTCTGAGGTCTTTGGGGCCAGGAGTATCTATATGGGCACGCCAGTGCTCTCGAGAAGGTGGCATGAGCTGCCAGTCCTAAATTCTTGGACGCGCGCGCCGCCCTGATAAGCACGCCGGTTGCCCACTTCTGTCTTGCACTTGGATTGCCTTGAAGCTGGGGAGGCGCAAATCCATCGAATAAAGCATCGTACGCTGGGTGAGCAGCCACCAATTGTCCTTGGAGATGCGAGGACAGCTGGGTTAGTTGCACTTGGTATTTCTCCGGGGTTGTCAGCAACGACTTGCAGTACTCGACATCTGCGGCGGCTCGGTCCATGTCGATTAGCCTATCGCCGATGAGGATTTGAATTCCAGCGTAACCCAGGCTGGCGGCCCATTCTGCGATACCCACGAGGCTATTGAACGGCGCTTCATCAGATAGATACTGGCCGACGAATATGGCCGGGCCTTTGACAGTCTTCAGGCTTCCCATTATTCGACGACTATTGGACTCGGGCTTGGAGTGACAAGTTCGATGCCTGTGAGCGAAAACCTGAAGTGGGATTCAAAATAGTAGGAAAATGATTACTCGTGCCACGCCCCACTTTTTTGGGCTCGCTTTGGCTCGCACCACCAAAGGTGCTGCTTATCACCAGTGCGGGCAGATCAGCAGTTCGGGCACTTTTTAGGCCTAATAGCTCTATTAACCTCTTCGCACAGTCCGTACGCCCTTTTCGCTATTAATTTCTAGTGGTTCTAGTACAGAAGTTATACGCTATTTACGTGCCTTTTTTGCGGCTTTAAAAAACCACTTTTTGGCGTTAGTATGTGCCTTTTCATCTGCAGCCTCAATAACTCGTCGTGCCAATGCAACGCTGTCATCCTTCTTTTTTTGCACCATTTTGCGTGCATCACCTACAGAAAGAATGCCTCCAGTTTTTAAGGGCCGATTCTTTATGGCTTTGCGTTGCAATGATACCAATTCAGCTCTTTTGGTACGATTGAGGTCCCTCTTTCTCTGGATCTGTCGGATAAAACTGCCTCTGTTGATAGAACAAGCAAACTTAGTGTAATTTCCATCTGTCATAATATCGGTTATTATAACTTAAGTTAGCCGAAAAACAGATTTGGACGAAAGGAAGTTTTTAATATTAAATAAAGAGCTGTAAACGGAGTCTGCAGCACTCGGAACAACAAGCATAATAATTTTATTGAGAAGCTTAGTTAGCATGAGTCTCATAACGTGACAAATGGCTGAAAGGCAACAACATCCAACGTTTAAAGGATATGTCTAAGATATAGAGGCAAGCCGAATAATATAATATCATGGTTTTCTACATATTAGATGAATTCTATTGTATAGTGGGAGCCATGTCCGTCGATTATAAGGAGCTGGTATTAGCTAATCCGCTTATTAATAATATATTTATTAAAGTGCTTAATCTACTTAAAACTTAACTTATTATTTATAAATCCTGCTTATAATACACTAATTGTAGTATTATTATGGAGTTTGGGAACCTAATAGAACGCGCTTTAGTAGATAACCTGTAACGGCTAAGGTTCCTAAGAGATAAACTAGTTATAATTTATATTAGCAAAATAACTAAGGTAATTAATCTAAGTAATTAATTATTATATTAATAATAGGTTATAAATTATAATTAAGTAATTAAAGTTAAAAAGTTATAAGTAAAGCTTATTTAATATAATAATTTATATTAAAAGCTAAAAAATTAAAATTTATTTATAAAGTAAATTTAAGAGTTTTTATATATTATAATATTTATTTATTATTTATTAAAATTTT